ATGTGTAAACCCAGTATTTCACATGTGTAAACAGTTTTATGACATGTGTAAACCCAGTATTTCACATGTGTAAACAGTTTTATGACATGTGTAAACCCAGTATTTCACATGTGTAAACAGTTTTATGACATGTGTAAACCCAGTATTTTCACATGTGGAAACATGTAATATTCACGTGTAAACAGTTTTAAGACGTGTAAACTTGTGATATTCACATTGTGTAAAGCTAGTATTTTCACATGTGTAAACAGTATTATGACATGTGTAAACCCAGTATTTTCACATGTGTAAAAAGTGTTATGACATGTGTAAACCCAGTATTTTCACATGTGGAAACGCGTAATATTCACGTGTAAACAGTTTTAAGACGTGTAAACTTGTGATATTCACATTGTGTAAAGCTAGTATTTTCACATGTGCAGTCCATGTGTAACACACAGGTGTCAAACTCCGGTCCTCAGGGTCTCTGCATGTTTTACCTGCTCCAACACACCTGATCCGGTGAATCACCTGTAAACCCGTTAATCACCCAGGTGTGTTTCCAGGTGTGTTTTCAGGTGTGTCTTCAGGTGTGTTTTCAGGTGTGTTTTCAGGTGTGTTTTCAGGTGTGTTGGAGCAGAGGAACAAATGAAAACCTACCTGTAAAGGTGAGTTATTTAACTTGGCCTGTCGTTCTCAGGGACTCTGAAGCGGAAGCAGAACTTACCACGACATAAATGCAGTCCACGAACCCGGAGGCGGTGAGAGCCCGGACCCAGTGGGAGATCAGGGCGCACTGACCCACCGGCAGCAGCGGCTTCGGGACGCCCGCCAGGTGAGCGAACTTCCCGGTTCTGTCTGCGCAAACATCCCGCTGCAGTCTGGTTCCGTAGCCGGCTGCGAGGATTACGGCTTTCATTTAGACTTTGTGAACCAAGAGGACCACAGATGCTCGTTTTAGATTAAAGGTTCCTGTAAAACAACCAGTCCAAAGTCCGTTTTTTTTCTAGAGTTTCTCTATAATTTGTGTGGTTGTAGGAAGCTGTGCTGCCACCTACTGGACGCTGAAGGATTTACAGGCTGTTTTTGTTACGTCATCATTCTGCGACCACTGTTTATTCAGGACTTACAGCCAAAAATTGCAATAATAATTTTTTAAGAACATTTATCATCAAAAAGAATGTCCCTTCCCCTTTGAAAAGACGAAATATACTAAAATATTTTTATTTTAATGAGTGTAAGAAAATTAGATGCAACTATTTAATTTTTTTCAAGCAAAAGAAGCACATTTTAAGATTTTAAATGACATATACCCATGTAAAGATTACTTGAGACTAAAATTTAATATTGAGGCCAATAATTGTACTTCCTCTCAATCTGATATAGAAATGCAACCTTTATTTTTCTCTTGTAATTATGCTTCTAAATTTTGGAAGGAGCTTCATAATTGGTTGTTGGTCAATAATTCAAATATTCAACAATATTAAATTTGGCTTTAATACTGTGGACACAAAATTGGACTTTATATAATTAACCTGATCMTTATGGCTAAATATTATTTATACATTTTTGAAAATTACCCAGACTCTTCTATATTATCTAAAAGAAATGTCACTTCAATTAAAATCTTTGGAAACGACTGAAACAAATGCTGCTCTCCTCTATATGTCCAGTTTGATTTTTGAAACATATTAAAATGTCAGTGAGTAAAAGCCCTGACAGTATTTCTACTGTTTAGCTTGTGCTGTATGCATATTTTCTATTGTGAAGCTGTAACACAATTGTTTCTTGTTAAACAACTTTCATACTTTACATTCTTTGTTTCCTGTTTAAATTTTCTGCTCGTAAACAAAGGTTCTTGAATAAGAAGTGTGCTTGTAAGATTTGTATTTTCGCAAAAACAAAAAATAAGTAAATTAAAATCTCATTCATTAATGTAAACAAAACTGTGGCACAAACGGTTTGAAAACCAGCGACAACCGCGCTGTTTTACATCAAAGCAGCTTTTCTCTAACGGTCGCACAGTGATGACATCAACATACTGTTCAAGTTTTGGTTTATTTTTAATAGATTTAACTTTGGATTTCAGTGAAGTGAACAGAATAATTAAAATGTTTGCGACATTTAAATAAAAAATATTTTCCTGCAATGTTTATTCCATATGTTTACACAAACAGCTGATTGATTCATTAAAATAATTTTAGGAGACGAAGCAGCAACAAGTGACTGGATTTTATTTTCTGAACTCATTTTCAACACAAAGCATAGAAAAGTGTTTTTAAACAAACAAAAACAATGAATTTGAAATCATCTACTCCACGTCCTCGCTGCCAGCCTCTGGTCCTGAGATGCTGGTTTCAGGGTCTTTGAGCGAGTCCTGCTGGTCCGACGGTTCAGGTCTGGTCTGGTCCATGGGTTCCTCGGTGGGCTCGGGACCGGGCGTCGGAGACTCTGCTGGTTTCACCAAGTCCACCTGAAGAGAGGGATTTTAAATCAGCTTGTGTCCGGAGCGTCGTACACGAACATGGAAACAGGTGTAGAGGGGGCGGGGCTTAGCGACTGTCGACGTGAAGGAGATGATTTTAAAGGGTCTGTGACGTCAAATTTTAGTAACATATTTGAATGCATTTTTAGAAAGAGGACATTGATAAAATACTGTAAAATAAATTTCACGTCACTGAGATGAACAGTTGTTGAGATATTTGCCTGTGAGGTAACAGGAAGTGATGTCRGAGGGGAGTGTCTGCATGTGAACAGAGTGATGATAACAAACTGTAGAGAAGAATCTGATGTTAAGATTATTTTGAGTCGCCATCAGAGAGATGAAGACGAGTCAGAGTTCAAATATTGTTTCAATCAACAAAGACCAGAGTTCCCCTTTGATGTCACTTCCTGTTTCACTTTGGCTGAGACAAGATCAAAGGAAAATATGCAGTTATGAGTTATAAAGTCATGCGTTTTACTCCAACTTTCTTAAATATAAATATGTTTTCTTTGACTTTTTGTATTTGAAGAATATTAATGTCACGGACACTTTAAAGCTCCGCCTCACCTGTGGATCAACATCAGGAGCTCCAGCAGGTACAGCTTGCTCCGCCTCCTGCTCCATTGGCTCCTCCTCATCTCTTTTAATGACCGGCTCCTTAACGACGGGCTCCTGGTGCACCGGTACTTTCAGGACGACGGGCTCCTGGTGCACCGGTACTTTCAGGACGACGGGCTCCTGGTGCACCGGTACTTTCAGGACGATGGGATCCTGGTGCACCGGTNGGTGCACCGGTACTTGCGGTTGTGTCTGCGCCACGGTGGCAGGTTGTTCCGCAGCAGCTGGACTGCGTTCCACCTGAAAAGGGCACAAAGTTCCTGAATAAAGCCTGAGCTGAGAGACGATCTGAGCAGAACAAATACCTCCTCCTCCCTGACGGGCTCCTCGGGTTCAGGTTTCTTGTGGGCTTCCAGCACGGCCATGACGGCGGTGGGGATGTGTGCCTGCTGTGGACGGTTAGAACAGGTGTCAGGRCGGTTCTGTGAGAGTTAAAAAGGTCCTGCCGGGCCCGCTCTGACCTGGTGAGGGGTGAAGGACAGGACGTGCTGCAGCAGCGGCGCCCTCAGGTCCGGGCAGCGCTCGAACACGCTCTGCAGCGGCRCCGGCGGCAGCTGCAGCAGCACGCTGAAGGACTGAGGCTTGGTCCGCTGGCAGCACTTCACAAACCCCTCCCACACCTTGGGATACTTCCACACCTGTGAGGGGGCGGGGCCATTAAAAACTCACGTCTTTGAACCTGAACAGGTTTGTTATTTTTGTGTTTTGACGCCGACCTGTTTGACKATGAGGCGGGACAGGATGTTCATGACGAAGCCCCCTAGACGGGGGTACATGGTGAGGGACTGGATGACGGTCCTCATCAGCAGCATGGGGAGGGGGTTCTGCTCCATCAGCTGCTGCATCACCACCGCCAGCACCTCCGAGGTGTACACGTTCCTCTCCGCGAAGCACAGGTTGGTCGCTGGCGTGCAGAAAACACAACAGATTAAAATCTGCTCATTCTGAAGGATTATTGTGCAGAAAACACAACAGATTAAAATCTGCTCATTCTGAAGGATTATTGTGCAGAAAACACAACAGATTAAAATCTGCTCAATCTGAAGGATTATTGTGCAGAAAACACAACAGATTAAAATCTGCTCAATCTGAAGGATTATTGTGCAGAAAACACAACAGGTTAAAATCTGCTCAATCTGAAGGATTAATGTGCAGAAAACACAACAGGTTAAAATCTGCTCAATCTGAAGGATTATTGTGCAGAAATCACTGCCCCTGCTGGTCAGGTCAGAGAACACAGCTGCAGGTGTAACCAGCTAAAAACTGTTTTAACGAGAGCTTCAAGTCGTTTCAGCTGAAAGATCAAAGAGGAGCTAAAAGTAGCATCCAGTTTATGATTCAGTCTGTAAATGTTTTTATAAAAACATTAAAAAATCTAAATGTTTCTGTGAAAACAGCTGAAAGACGACACTGAAGCTAAAACTGAGTTCAGCTTTAAACCAGAATAAAGATTAAAATGAGCAGAAGCTAAAATAACAAACATGCAGCTAAAGGATAGAGAGCAAACTGCCAGCTAAAAGTACTAAAAGGCTAAAGGAGCAGAGCACCAGCTAAAAATAAACCAAAAGCTAAAATAGCTAAACTAGCTAAGAGCTAAAAGAATGGCAATATTTTTTTTAGTTAATGTAGGAAAACAGCTGAAGGCTAAAAGAAGCTGAATGGTAGCTAAAAGCTAGAAACTTACACTGTAGTTTAAATATATTAACAGCTAAAAGTAGCTGAATGGTAGCTAAAGACTAAAGGATACAGACGGTAGCTAAAAATAGCTAAGTAGCTAAAGACTAAAAGTAGATGAATAATAGCTAAAGGCCAAAACAATTTTTGTATTATTGAGTTAAGTGTCAAAACAGCTAAAGGTTCAAAGTAGATGAATTGTAGCTAAAATGCAACAGCAGCTAAAGGACAAAAGTAGTTGAATKGTAGCTAAATCAAGACACTTTAAAAATGGATGAATGTAGCCAAAATTAGCACGGCGTTAGCTAAAAAATAATGCAACAGCTAAAGGTAGCTGAATGATAGCTAAAATCAAGATAGTTTACAAATAGATGAACAGTAGCCAAAATAAGCAGAATGATAGCTAAAAATAAGGTAACAGCTAAAGGACAAAAGTAGTTGAATGGTAGCTAAAAGCAAGACACTTTAAAAATGGATGACTGTAGCCAAAATTAGCATGATAGCTAAAAATAAAGTAACAGCTAAAGGTAGCTGAATAGTAGCCAAAATAAGCATAATGATAGCTAAAAATAACACAACTAAAAGCTAAAGGTAGCTGAATAGCTGAATTTTGGCTCTTCGTCTCAGCACGTAGCTGCAGAGGCCCGACTTGTCTGACAGTTTCAGAGGAACAGAAACCCGTTGGACCTTTAATGATGGACTTCATGTCACACTTGTTGGAGTCGATGTTGTGTAAGGCGATGAGCAGATCTCCTGGAGTCAGAGGAGACACMGAGGAGCTTCCTTCACCTGCAAACACAAAAACACTCTTCAGCCACAGAGCAGCCGAACGCTCGGGCGCTCAGCGGCTGTCAGGGCTCGTACCGTGCTGCGTCCCCAGCAGGCGGTTGAAGACCTCCTTCACCACGATGGGGTTCAGCTTGATCAGTTTGGGCAGAGCCTGGATAACTTCCATCTGAGACAGAAAATATTTATTCAGCTGGCCCTGGAAAACAGCTAAAGTTTTTTACCTGGAGCATCAAACAGGAGCTAAAACTGAGTTCAAGTTTTAACAAGTGCAAAAAAACAAATAAAAGGAGCAGAACAAGCTAAAAAACATGTAGCTAACAGACAAACTGAGCAAACTATCAGCTAAAAGCTTAAAGGAGCAGAACAGAAGCTAAAAAACATGTAGCTAACAGATAAACTGAGCAAACTATCAGCTAAAAGCTTAAAGGAGCAGAACAGAAGCTAAAAACATGTAGCTAACAGAAACTCAGCAAACTATCTGCTAAAAGCTTAAAGGAGCAGAACAGAAGCTAAAAAACATGTAGCTAACAGATAAACTGAGCAAACTATCAGCTAAAAGCTTAAAGGAGCAGAACAAGCTAAAAACATGTAGCTAACAGATAAACTGAGCAAACTATCAGCTAAAAGCTTAAAGGAGCAGAACAGAAGCTAAAAAACATGTAGCAAA